TTTTATACTTAGATGCTTTTAATAAGCTTATGAATGAATTTACCTATTTTGGGGTGAATAGAGAGAGCTTATTAGAAATCTGTTGTTATGAGGCAGGAGGAGATCGTTTTGTCTTTTTTTTTCAATAAAATATATTTATTGAGCATCTCTCCCACATCTCATCAATGAATAGCATTTGTAGAAGTATAAATTAAAAAGTAAAGTTTTTAATAACTGTAAATCCTATTTCAAGCCCTGTCCTCTTGGTTTCTCTCTTTTTAATTAATTAATTTTTTTCTTTTTTAAAAAATTGAGACAGGGTCTTGCTATGTTGCCCAGGCTGGTCTTGAACACCTAGCCTCAAACAGTCCTCCAGCCTCTACCTCCCAAATTGCTGGGATTACAGGCATGAGCCACTATACCTGTCCCTGTGTTCCTCTCAGCACATTTGAATTGATCAGATTCTGGCATTCAAACTGTGAAAATCCATTTCCAAAATTCGAATAATTAGGCAACAGTAGCATACTTCTCCCTGAAGATGCCCTTATACGATAAGCTCCCACATGACCATATGTAGAGATACAATGATTCCCATAATTTCTTTTTTTTTTTTTTTTTTGAGATGGAGTCTTGCTCTGTTTCCCAGGCTGGAGTACAATGGCACAATCTTGGTTCACTACAACCTCTGCCTTGCAGGTTCAAGCAATTCTCCTGCCTCAGTCTCTTGAGCAGCTGAGATTATAACATGACAGCATGCAACCTGGAAAACTGGGCTAAGGAGCTGATTATTTCATTGATGCGGAAAAACCAGGACACATTTTTTTTTTTGTTTTGACAGAGGGTCTTGCTCTGTTGCCCAGGCAAGTGGTAAAATTTTAGCTAACTCCTGGGCTCAAGCGATCCGCCCACCTCAGCCTCACGAGTAGCTGGGACAATGGGCACACACCACTATGCCTGGATAATTTTTTTATTTTTTGTAGAGACAAGGTTTCACTATGTTGCCCAGGATGATCTAGAACTCCTGGGCTCAAGCAGTCCTCCCTCTCCAGCCTCCCAAAGCCCTGGGATTACGGGCATGAACCCAGGATGCTTATTTTTTTTTTATGCTCCTTTTTCTTTTTATTAAAATGTCACAGCATGCCTAGGGAACAGTTTATATGGCTGCATAAAGCCTGAAACACTAGAAGAAAACTAATCAAAAACCACTTGTTAGATACACAATTATAATTATTGATGTCCTTTCAATTGAATCCTGTGTTTTTAAAATGAAAAACACGCAGCCTGGTACAAATATCCACATTTCAATTTGCAATCTGCTGCATTGGCATAAGTTTTGGTGAAACTGCAAAATCACACCCGGTACCCTTCTGTATGTCATCCACTGTCAGGTCTTCCCAGAGCTCAGAGTCAGCCCTTTCTTCTTGTCCACATCAGACATAGCCTTTTCAGTAATAATCCGGTTGACACATTGCTTTCCAGTCAATGGTAATGTACATTTCTCCATGATTTTATGTGCATTTCCCTTTGTAGAGTGCTTCATGGTGACCACCACTTTGCTTTTGGCACTGGACACTAAATCCATAGCACCTCCCATTCCTTTCACTATCTTCCCATGTATCATCCAGTTGGCTAGGTCACCATATTTGGAAATCTGCATGGCTCCTAGCATTATTAGATCGACATGTCCCCCTCTAATCATTGCAAATGATTCATTGCTGGAGAATAAAGAGGCTCCTAGAAGAACAGTAACTGTTTCCTAGCCCGCATTGATTAAATCTGCATCAGCTTCATGTTGTCCTGGATATAGACCCAAACCCAGAACTCCATTTTCACTTTGAAGATGAACAGTCATATTTGGGCTGATAAAGTTGCTGGCCAGGAGAGAGATTCCTATGCCCAAATTAGCATACATGCCATCCTCAAACTCAAGAGCGGCCCTCTTGATGATTCGTTCCCTTACGTCATTTCCAGGTTTAGCAGATTTGGCTTCGCCATCTCCCTCTTTCTGGATTGATAAATGCTCAATTCTTTTCTCATATTTTTCTCCCTTTATAAGGCAATATACATAAATCTGTGGAATATGGATGTCTTCTGGAGCAATGCTCCAATATCCACAATTTCTTCAACCTCTACCACCATGGTTTCTGCAGCTTTCCACATTGGCAAGTTGAAATTCCTTGCACTTTTCCTGAAAATCACGTTTCCTGCTTGGTCTGCCTTCCAAGCTTTCACCAAAGCAAAATCCCCTGTAATTGCTTCCTCCAAAATAAAGTGCTCCCTCACCTCTCTTGGCTTACTGGCAGTGGCAACACTGCCATCTTTGTTGTAATTGATGGGCGATCCTCCTTCTTATACCAAGGTCCCATATCCTGTGGGGGTATAAAATGCAGGAACTCCAGCCCCACCTGCACGGATCGTCTCTGCATGTGTGCCCTGTGGTGTCAGTTCCACTTCTAATTTACCAGATAAGTACTGTCGTTCAAATTCCTCATTTTCTCCCACTTATGAAGAAACCATACGTTTTATCTGATTGGACGAAAGCAAAAGGTCCAAACCAAAGTAGTCAACCCTTGCATTGTTACTGACTGCAGTTAGTCCTTTTACTCCAGTTTTTAGTAAAGCACCTGTAAGGTTCCCTGGAATTCCACATAGCTGGAAACCACCAACCAGAACGGTTACACCATCAGCGATGTCTTTTACAGCTTCCACTGGATCTGTATAAAACTTAGTATGTTATGGCAATGAGCGCTGGTGGAAAAGGAGCAAACACATCCCTTGTACCAGGCTCCCCCGGATCCATGGGCAGAGGCACAGAGCTGAAGCCCGGAGGAGAGGAATTTGAGAGCTGCCATCTTTGGGCCGGGAGGCAGGAGGAGGCTGGAGCGCGTGTGTTAGTGTCGGTCCCAGGCTTGTTGAGCGATGCTTGTTAAATTTCCAAGTGTCCTTATATCGACCAAAGTGATTACCAGGAAGTGTCGGTCCTCGTAGAAGCGGGAGAAGCGGTCCACCATTTTGCGGATGTCATTTCTCTCAGGACGACGGTCTACGGTTCGCTCATTCGCTCCTTCCCTCCTGCGACACCCGCCCCTCCCCGGTTCCCCGCCTCCTCCCACGCCCCCCAGCTGAGGGTGGGTGCGAGAATGCACGTCTTGACTGGAGCCCAGCGCTGCAAGGCGGACACATCCCTTTTGTCTTAAGTAACCCAAACGGCGTTCCAACATGTTACTATTAGAATTTAAAACCTTCGGCCGGGCGCGGTGGCTCAAGCCTGTAATCCCAGCACTTTGGGAGGCCGAGGCGGGTGGATCACGAGGTCAAGAGATCAAGACCATCCTGGTCAACATGGTGAAACCCCGTCTCTACTAAAAATACAAAAAATTAGCCAGGCATGGTGGCGCATGCCTGTAGTCCTAGCTGCTCAGGAGGCTGAGGCAGGAGAATTGCCTGAACCCAGGAGGCGGACGTTGCGGTGAGCCGAGATCGCGCCATTGCACTCCAGCCTGGGTAACAAGAGCGAAACTCCGTCTCAAAAAAAAAAAAAAAAAAAAACCTTCATTGTTCATTGCAGTCTATAAGTACCTAGGTAAACTATGTGTGTAGAGGCAGTGATGACTTAAACTAGTTAAAATGGGTAAGTCTAAGTAAATGTTGAAATACTTAAACTGTAAGCAAATATTTATTTATTTATTTATTTATTTATTGCTTTTTCAGCTTCTTTTTTATTACTCTGGTAAACCAGTTGTTCCACCTTACCCCCATTACATCTGTGCCTGACCTCCCTGACTCTTTCTTTTTATTTTATTTTATTTTTTCCATTTATTTATTTTATTGCATTTTAGGTTTTGGGGTACACGTGAAGAACATGAAAGATTGTTGCATAGGTACACACCTGGCAGTGTGATTTGCTGCCTTCCTCCCCATCACCTACATCTGGCATCTCTCCCCTTGCTATCTCTCCCCAACTCCCCACCCCCCATCGTCCCTCCCCTATTTCCCCACAACTGACCCCAGTGTGTAGTGATCCCCTCCCTGTGTCCATGTGTTCTCATTGTTCAACACCCGCCTATGAGTGAGAACATGCGGTGTTTGATCTTCTACTCTTCTGTCAGTTTGCTGAGAATGATGGTTTCCAGGTTCATCCATGTCCCTACAAAGGACACAAACTCATCGTTTTTGATGGCTGCATAATATTCCATGGTGTACATGTGCCGCATTTTCCCTATCCAGTCTATCGTTGATGGGCATTTGGGTTGATTCCAGGTCTTTGCTATTGTAAACAGTGCTGCAATGAACATTCGTGTGCACGTGTCCTTACAGTAGAACGATTTGTAATCCTTTGGATATATACCCAGTAATGGGATTGCTGGGTCAAATGGAATTTCTATTTCTAGGTCCTTGAGGAATCGCCACACTGTCTTCCACAATGGTTGAACTAATTTACACTCTCACCAACAGTGCAAAAGTGTTCCCATTTCTCCACATCCTTTCCAGCATCTGTTGTCTCTAGATTTTTTAATGATCGCCATTCTAACTGGCATGAGATGGTATCTCAATGTGGTTTTGATTTGCATTTCTCTGATGACCAGTGATGATGAGCATTTTTTCATATGTTTGTTGGCCTCATGTATGTCTTCTTTTGTAAAGTATCTGTTCATATCCTTTGCCCACTTTTGAATGGGATTGTTGGTTTTTTTTTCTTGTAAATCTGTTTTAGTTCTTTGTAAATTCTGGATATCAGCCCTTTGTCAGATGGGTAAACTGCAAAAATTTTTTCCCATTCTGTTGGTTGCCGATTCACTCTAATGACTGTTTCTTTTGCTGTGCAGAAGCTGTGGAGTTCGATTAGGTCTCATTTGTCTATTTTGGCTTTTGTTGTCAATGTGTAAGCAAATATTAAAAATTATTCTTGAAAAAGTGTTCATTTTATGTTTAAAAAACTATCATGAAGTAACAATAATCTGAATTGAACGTTGCTCTCTTTTTACATCATGTTTAAAAAGACACAAAGACAGAAAAGTGTGCTGATAGGGATGGGGTGTACTAACTGCCTTACGTTGTGAGACAGAAAACATTTTGTGTTTGAATTTGAATTGTGGGTATTACAAATTACTTTAAATTTCCTCCTAAAACACACATACATAGACACACCTACTATGTACTCATAATGATTAAATAAAACACAGAAACACTCAGTTTCGATTTTAGATACAGTCTAACTATATGTGAATTACAGGAGGCTACAATTAAACAGTGATAGAAAATTTAAGTAGACAGATAAGAAAATATATATTACACATATAGAAATAAAAGAATATGGCCAGGCGCGGTGGCTCACGCCTGTAATCCCAATACTTTGGGAGGCTGAGATGGACAGATCATCTGAGGTCAGGAATTTTGAGACCTGCCTGGCTAACGTGGTGAAACCCTGTCTCTACCAAAAATACAAAAAATTTGCCAGGTACAGTGGTACATGCCTGTAGTCCCAGCTATTTGGGAGGTTGATGCAGGAGAATCACTTGAACCTGGGAGGCAGAGATGGCAGTGAGCCAAGATTACATCACTGCATTCCAGCTTGGGTGACAGAGCGAGACTGTCTCAAAAACAAAAAAAAAGGAATATAATTGTCTTAATATCAGTAATAGATATAGTAGAATTTAAGATGAAAAGAGATGAGATGTGGATGATTGCATTATAAAGATTAAATCCTAATATAAATGTTGTACTGCCATTGCTTTGAATTCTTTATAGCTATTATGTGTAAAGACATGGAGTATGGCTCTTTATTTTATTTATTTATTCATTCGTTCATTCATTCATTCAGGTGGAGTTTCTTGTCGCCCAGGCTGGAGTGCAGTGGTGCAATCTCAGCTCACTGCAACCTCCTCCTCCTGGGTTCAGGTGATTCTCCTGCCTGAGCCTCCTGAGTAGCTAGAATTTCAAATGTATGCCACCATACCCAGCTAATTTTTGTAGTTTTACTAGAGACAGCGTTTTACCACATTGGCCAGGCTGGTGTGAAACACCTGACCTCAGGTTATCTGCCCACCTCCCAAAGTGCTGGGACTACAAGCATGAGCCATCATGCCTGGCAAAGTATGGCTCTCTATTATTTATTTATTTATTTTCTATTTGTACTTAAGGAGTTAGATTCTGCTTTTGTGTATTTATTTATTTTTTGAGACAGTGTTGTACTGTCGCCCAGGCTGGAGTGCAGTGGCGCGATCTTGGCTCATTGCAACCTCCGCTTCCCGGATTCAAGTCATTCTCTTGCCTCAGCCTCCCAAATAGCTGGCATTACAGATACCTGCTACCACGCCCAGCTAATTTTTTGTATTTTTAGTAGGTAAGGGGTTTTACTGTGTTGGCTGGGCTGGTCTCAAACTCCTGACCTCATGATCCGCCCACCTTGGCCTCCCAAAGTGCTGGGATTACAGCCTTGAGTCCCCTCGCCCAGCTGAGTATGGCTCTTTAAATGTGAAAAGAGTTATATGTTTATGTACACATGCACTTCCACACAGACACAGACCCAGAGCTAGAGACTTGTAGGCATCAGACCTGCTTCACCATCAAAAATGTTCACATGCAGTTAATTTTTATTTAAAATTTGCCTTTTTTATTTACATTTTCTGGTCCTTATTCCGGCAAGAATTGGATATTTGATTTTTCTTATTCTCTTCAGTATGTGAATGAAAAATGTATGTGAGTTTGAGAGATAATTGTTATTATTTTTTTTTCAGTGTACTTATGGGCTTGATCATCTGACTTTTTTGATATATAAGAATAGGAAGTTATTAATTATAGGTAATTGCTAAAATATATTTATGTATGTTTTTCTTTTTTTTTTTTGTTTTAGCATGGTGTTAGTCTGTATATTCAAGATAAAGAAGGCTTGTCAGCTTTGGATCTTGTAATGAAGGATAGACCAACTCATGTAGTATTCAAGAATACTGGTAAGAAAATTTGACAAATGGGCCAGACATGGTGGCTCACACCTATAATCCCAGCACTTTGGTAGGCTGAGGCGGGCAGATCACTTGAGGTCATGAGTTCGAGACCAGCCTGACCAACATAGTAAAACCCCTTCTCTACTGAAAATGCAAAAATTAGCCAGGTGTGGTGGTGGGCACCTGTAATCCTAGCTACTTGGGAGACTGAGGCGGGAAAATCACTTGAACACAGGAGGCGGAGGTTGCAGTGAGCCAAGATCGTGCCATTGTACTCCAGCCTGTGTGACAGAGCAAGACTGTCTCAAAAATAAAAAAAGTAAAAAAAAGATTTTACAGAGGTATTCCATTAGGGTACAGCTTAGCTCTGAAAATATTAATGAAATTTTATTCTTATTAAAGTGGTGGGGAAGATTTGTTTGGTGTGGATATCTGCCAAGAAATTTTACTTTGGTTTATGTTGGATATTTCTTGTTTCATATTCAGAACACTTTTATTTTGCATTTTAAAATTTCAGTCCATGTTTATGTCTATAAAAGTACAATCTAAAATGAGAAGACTGTTAAAATTGTAACTACTGTAAAGTAATTGATGTATATCCAGAAAGTGACATCAGCATTTGAGGTAGAGGGAAAAAGGAATGGAAATTAATATTCGTTTTGTTGTTGTTGAGTAGAGTCTCTGGAAATTATTATTATTTTTGTTGTTGTTGAGTTAGGATCTTGCTTTGTCAGTCAGGCGGAAATGCAGTGGCACGAACACGGCTCATTGCAGCCTCAACCTTCTGAGCTTAAGCCATCCTCTCACTCCAGCTCCCAAAGAAGCTGGGAATACAGACACATTCCAGCATGCCCAGTTAATTTTTGTATTTTTTATAGAGATGAGGTATTGCCATGTTGACCAGGCTGATCTGGAACTCCTGGATTTAAGTGATCCTCCTGCCTCAGCCTCCCAAAGTGCTGGGAATACAGGTGTGAGTCACTATGCCCAGCCAATTTTTTTTTTTTTTTTTAAAGACAGAGTCTCACTCTGTAGCCCAGGCTGGAGTATAGTGGTTTGATTTTGGTTCACTAGTAACCCCTGCCTCCCGAGTAGCTGGGAATACAGGCACCTGCCACCATGCGAGGCTGGTATTTTTTTGTATTATCGGTAGAGACAATTGTCATCGTATTGGCCAGGCTGATCTTGAACTCCTGACTTTTCGATCTGCCTGCCTCAGCCTTCCAAAGTGCTGGGATTACAGCCATGAGCCACCACACCTGGCCCCAATTACTCTTTTATTCACACATTCTCAGTTTCACTTATCCCTACAGTTTGTTTGCTCTTTGAGTTTTGGAAGTGGGAATT